GATGTCGTTATTTTTTTTGTCAGAGGAGGGTCGTGGTGCAATGAAGTTTCATATATGACATGCAAGCCATTCCAACATGAAATGCCTCTGAGCCTAAGTTTCTAGTGTTAAGGTGTGCTAACAATAGAGCGCCTCCAAAACTAACTGTGGAATTTTCAGAAGTGCTCAGTGTTAGCCTAACTCTGTTCCCAGTGATGTTGGGCATAAGACACTCATTGAAGTCAAAGGGAACTGTGTTAGGCTAATGCTGAGTGCCCTTGAAAGTACCATCTAAGTCCTTACAAAGGACTATACAACTTTCACGTATGAACACCAGTCAGATGCAGAAGGAAGAACAAGATTTGGGACCTCCTAGACTCTGACTTTGTTTAAACCACTACCTTCCCTCACCCCAGCAGGTTTTTGCAAAATTTAGGAAGATCAATTTTTTTTAATTACTAAGAATTTATTTGCAAGTTTGTGCAGATGACAGAATCCACACAAAATTAGCTTCAAGCTGTTCAGAGCTTCCCCGCACATTTTCAGTCCCTACTTCTGATCACTGGTGACTATGTTAATCTATAGTTTCAGAGGTGCAAATGAACAGATGACAATTTTTGCATCAACTTATGAAAAGTCTGCACCCCACAGAAGGCAAGACTCTAGGACAGATGGGTAGAGTAGTGGTGTTTTCCACCCAGGAGCTAGTAGATGGAATGGGTAGGCTCTGATAGAGGAAAAGATCTTTCTTCCATGCAACAAGGGAAGAAACAGGAAAAGTCACCTCAAACTCATCTGCCCCATACCAGCTGGAGGCTTATGGAAAAGCAGCCCCAAAGAATGGGGCATGAATAGCAGCACAGTAGAATCCTAACAGATGGACTTCTCTTCTTACCATGGTATTACCCCTCACAGCCACATTTTGTATCAGTCTCTGGAAAATAGGAATGCAGATTTTTTTTTTTAAGCCCTACTCAAAGCTTTGATATTAAGTGTTCCATGATCCCACAAGCTCAGCATCTAGTTCAGAAACACAGCAAAAGAAACCAAAACAAAAGGAAGAGAAAGGACAATTGAAATGGAGGGTTAAAAAGGTAACAGCCACCACTTGAGTTGACAGCAGGGTTTGAACGTAGGACTTCAAAGAGCTAAAACCATGAGATACCACCTCAGCTAAAGAATTTAGGGATGGGATTTTCAAACAGGACAAAGACACTTAAAATGGCTTTCAATGGAACTAGCACTCCTAAGTCACTTAAGACATTTATGAATCTACTACTACTGATGTGGATCAACTCCCAGAAGACGACAGACCCATACGCCCCTAAAGAGGTTAGGAAAGCAGTGGGGTTTAAACCGAGATGGGTATTTGTGAACAGGAAATGGCAGGCTTTTCCAAGCACAAAGAGGATGTCTCATGAGACATAGGAGCTGGGAGAGGAACTATGATCAGCAATATAGGCAGGGCCTATGGCATATCAGTCACTCTTATAGCCAGGAGCCCTTATTTGGGTTGAGCTGTGTAAAGACATAGCATCAGTCTTAAGCCTTCACCAGCAACCTCTAGCAAAGCCGGCCTAGCGCATATGTACATGGGCAGCTGGCCTCTTTACACCTCTTCTGAGTCACAATCAAGCAAAGATTCTCTAGAGACATTTAAAGTTACGCAGCTATTAAACGTTTCACATTCTTGCTCTTAAAAACTTATGAAAGTTAGATCACTGGGTATTGTTTAATGCAATTGCTACCCACAAAGAGAGAGAATATTCTGTGTAGGAAAACAGTTTTAATCAGTAACTGAACAGTTGTTCCTTCTATAGGAGTTACTTTCTAGTTATGTTTGGCAGCTTTGTTCAGACCATAATCTGCATTCAGAATCTGCCGTGAAAACACTCTTGAGGTGTGAAAAAGAATAGTGTTCCTTAAATGTATCACTACTATTTATACCAGGTGCTTCCAACCACAATTTTTTAGATTAAAAATAGAGTAGGTGGTGTTTGGATCACTTAAACTATCTGAAATCTACAGCATTAGTCACTAAGAGACCTCATTTAAAAACATATTCAGGTAAATTAAACAAAAAATTCCATTTAGAAATAAAAAAAGGTATTTTAAATTTTCATACCCAATGAATTGGGCAGTTGGTGTTCAACAGTTATGTCTGTGCCTCACAGAAATTTTAATTTAAAAAGTCACAATCATTTAAAAGGACACATTTACTTCAATCTGGATTTATTAGTCAAGTGTCCAGTGCATTTTAGGAAATTAACATCCAGTTGAAGTCAGTGGAAAGAATCCCAATGACTTCAGTTAGAGTTGAATCAGATTTTTAGGGTATGTCTGTCTACACAGCAAAGAAAAATCTGCAGCTGGTCCATACCGGCTGACACAGGCTCACAGGGCTCGGGCTGTTTCATTGCTGTGTTGGCTTCCAGGCTTGGGCTGGAGCCTGAGCTCTGGGAGGCACCCACCTTGCAGGGTCCTAGAGCCTGAGCCCAGAAGTCTACACAGCAATGAAATAGCCCGTAGCCCAAGCCCCATGAGCAGGAGTCAGCTGGCGTGGGCCAGCCATGGGTTTTTCTTTGCCGTGTAGACATAGCCATCGTCATCAATGCATAAGCTACAGTTTATGAAACCACTCGATTGAAGTGGAGAAAATCAGCTAGTTTTACGCAAACACCCATATCTTAAGTTAGTGAGAGTTTCTTTGTTAATTCTTTGGTAACCACATTTGGATTGATCCTCTACTCCTTTTTAAGTAAAAAGGAAGCAGATCATACATAGCTTTTTCTATGCTAATATCTGGTGGTTTATGAGTGAAATATCCCAGCTTAAATTTAAAAACCAAGTGAAGAAGCCTTTTGACCAACATTAGTCAAAAAGTGCATTGTGACAGATTTAAATGTAACTAGAATTGTGGAACAAAAGCTGTTGAGAATCACAATTATCAAAAGCATCCGTTGTTATCTGTTCCCAATGCTGCTTTTATACTGAACCAAGCCACTTCCCAGACAGATTCATTTAATAAAGTGGCAAGATGAGGTCCTTATAACTTCTTCAGTTTATTGTCTTTTTCCTTTAAGGAAACCAATAATTTTCCAACTCACACCCTACACCAGGGGTCGGCAACGTTTGGCACGCAGCTCGCCAGGGTAAGCACCCCGGCGGGCCGGGCCAGTTTTATTTACCTGCTGACGCGGCAGGTTCGGCCAATCAAGGCCCCCACTGGCCGCGGTTCGCTGTCCCGGGCCAATAGGGGCGGTGAGAAGCCGCGGCCAGCACATCGCTCGCCCGCGCCGCTTCCCGCCGCCCCCATTGGCCTAGGACAGTGAACCGCGGCCCCCCGGCCGAACCTGCCACGTCAGCAGGTAAATAAAACTGGCCCGGCCCGCCGGGGTGCTTACCCTGGCGAGCCGCTTGCCAAACGTTGCTGACCCCTGCCCTACACCATTAAAAGTCAGCAATCTCTAATTATGATGAACTATGGACAGGGCAGGATGTTCTCTGTACTTTATAGCTCCTAGCTAATGATCCTCTACGGTCCAGATGTTTTATTTTAGAGGAGTACTCAGCTACATAAAGCAATGCGGTGTCTGTTATTTCCCATGTTTGTAGGTGCTCTCAGACCTCCCAGTTCAAGGTCTCTCATATCAACACTTATGTGAGTGCTGGTAGGGAATAGCTCCTCATCACTTGAGATGGAACAGCTGCACGCATCAGTAAAAGTTTAACAGATTGGGTTTTTAAGTGTTTAAACTGCAGAATATCCCTTGGCCCAAAGCCAGTTGTCCTAGATAATATTTTTGGTGAAACTACAGTTGGAGTATACCTTCATCATTTCCTACAGTAATGTGATTTCTAAGATAAGGAGCAAGTCAACGTAACTCAAGGTTGTGGCTTCCAGCACACATTTGAACTTTGGTACAGGTGACTTGTAGAAGCTCACTTAAGGCCTTTTGAATACAAGCGTCAGTTATCAGAGGCCAAAACATCTGGAGAACATCAACACTTGCTGCTTCTTACTGTCAGAATTAGTGGCAGATGACATTTGATATGCGTCACTTATTGGCTCAGGCATCCACTTATTCGGAAAGTATAGGAACAGAAAAATTTAAAGTTCAGGACACATGTTTATTACATCTAATAATAAAATCAAACCTGAATTTATATAATCAGCCGTATCTGACATTTGAAAGGTCTATCAAAAGACAAGAATAATAATTATAAACATGGAATTTTGTTCAAAGCTACTTCAAGCCTCTTAACTTTAAGTCATTGAAGAGCCAACTTGCAAAGTCATAAGTGTAAAACCAAGTTTAACAAGTTCATAGCTACTATTCCAATTCAGTCTAGAATCCTTACTTTTTTTTTTTTTCTTCTTGATCTTCAGCTATAGGTAGTGTCCTAAATCATAAGACTTCATAGTCACAGGGCTTAGTTCTCTTTCCCCTCCCGTGGCCTGAACAGTATTTACTCACATGAGCAGTCCCATTTGCTTTGCTTGTACTATTCACATAAGCAAGAACTATTTATTAGAAGGTTTGCAGAACTAGGCCTGAAGCTTAGTAATAAAAACCAAAA